AGGGGACGCCTAATCTGAACACTCTGCAACACACGCAGCCACATTCCCAAAGCAGAAGGAAGAGCAGCATGCCAAAAAGGATTCTAGACAAGAACACTTCTCCTCCTCTGACATGCTACCTTCCTACAGAATGGAATTGTGCATTCGAATGCAAAATATCTATCTACCTACCTACCTACCTACCTACCTACCTGAGAGAACCACCCTCCTGCCTTCTGAAGTCTGTCCCACATTTTATTAATTAATTAATAGCTTTTGCATGCCGTCCTATCCCAGGATGGCTTACAATATTTAAAAAGACAACTAAAACAACAATTTCAATCAATAATAAAACAGAACAAAACAATAAACAGAGTGACTAAAAACAGAGTGACAAAACAAACAGAGTGACTAAACTGAAAAGCTATTAAATTTTAAAATACTGTTTAAATAAAAAGGTGTTGGCCTGGTGCCGAAAAGAGTATAAACTTGGCACCAGGCGTACCTCTCTGGGGAGTACATTCCAGAGTCTGGGTGCCACAGCAGAGAAGGCCCTACTCCAAGTTGATGACCTTTTAACCTCTCTTAGAGAGGGTTCCCGGAGCAGGGCCTCTCCCGCAAGATCTTAAGGGGCACGAGGACATATAAGGAAGGAGACATTCCTTCAGGTATTCTGGTCTCAAGCCGCTTAGGGCTTTATAGGTCAAAACCAGCACCTTGAATTGGGCCCAGACTTCAACTGGAAGCCAGTGGAGCTGGCAGAGGACTCGTATTATGTGAGAGTAATGGCCGGTTCCCATCAGCAGCCTGGCAGCTCTATTCTGTACCAGTTGCAGTATCTGGACTGTTTTCAAGGGCAGCCCCACATAGAGTGCGTTACAGTAATCCAAGCGGGAAGTTATCAGAGCATGTATCACTGTTGCTATGAAGTGCTCATCCAGGTAAGGATGCAGCTGATGGATCAGTTGAAGTTGTAGGAAAGCACTCCTTGCCACCACCGCCACCTGGAAATTCAGTGACAGCTCTGGATCAAGGAGTACTCCCAAGCTGTGGACCTTGTCCTTCAGAGGGAGTGCTACCCCATCCAGAACTGGGTCAAAATCACCTACCTGGAGACCCGCACCATCCACCAACAGGACTTCCGTCTTATCTGGATTGAGGCTCAGTTTATTGGCCCTCATCCAGCCCATTACCTCGGCCAGGCACCAGTTCAGTACAGCCACCACCTCACCTGGAGCAGATGTAAATGAGAGGTAGAGCTGTGTGTCATCAGCATACTGATGACTCCGCAGTCCAAACCTCCTGATGACCTCTCCCAGTGGTTTCATGTAGATGTTAAATAGCACGGGGGACAAAATAGAGTCCTGCAGAACTCCATGGCAAAGCTGCCATGGCGCAGAGCTATAGTCCCCCAGCACCACGATCTGGAATCGGGCAGCCAGATAGGAGTGGAACCACTGCCATGCAGTGCCTCCTTCTCCCAATCCCACCAGCCTATCCAGAAGGATACCATGGTCAATGGTATCGAAAGCCACTGAAAGGTCCAGGAGAGCCAACAGGGATGTACTCCCCGTGTCCCTCTCCCTGCACAGGTCATCATACAGGGCGACCAAGGCAGATTCAGTACCATAACCAGGTCTGAAGCCAGACTGAAATGGGTCCAGATAATCAGTTTCGTCCAAGAGTGCCTGGAATTTCATCCAAGAGTGCCACCTGCTCTAACACCTTGCCCAAAAATGGAATATTGGCCACCAGTCTAAAGTTGGCGGCCACCTCTGGGTCCAGGGATGCCTTCTTCAGAACAGGCTGGATCACCACCTCCTTCAAGAGGGCTGGGACCTAGCCCTCCCTCAGTGAGCCATTAATAACCTCCTGGACGCAGGGACCAATCCCATAACTGGCCTCCTTAAGTAGCCAGGAAGGGCAAGGGTCAAGAAGACAGGTCGTAGGATGTACCATCCCAAGCACCTTGTCCACATCATCAGGCCGCAATAACTGAATCTCATCCATTAAAGATGGACCAGACGGAGTTCTGGACACTTCCCATACCGGAACAGAATCAACTGTGGAGTCCAGATCACGGTGAATCTGAGCGATTTTTTCCTTAAAGCGCTGGGCAAAGTTGTCACAGCGGGCTGCTGAAGGTGTGACCAGGTCATTTTCCTGGCCAGCGTGTGTTAGGCCTCGCACTATTTGGAAAAGCTCCGCTGGACGGCACTGTGAGGAAGCAATGGAAGCGGAGAAGAATTGCCTCTTCGCCGCCCTCACTGCCACAGTGTAGGCTCGATAATGAGCACGTAAGTGTGCTCAGTCAGATTCGTCCCGAGATTTCCCCGACCTGTGCTCTAGGTGCCTCCCAGCCTGCTTCATCGCCCCCACGACTCAGGCATATACCATGGTGCCGGACCGGGCTCTCTAAAACAATGTTGCTTAGCGCTAGAGCTCCCACACTTCAAATGATTCCATAATGAGTTCCTTCTAACCCAAGGGGAGGCAACTTTTTTGGGCCATGGGTGCATCTAGAAATTTTAAAAAATCGTCCTGGACACTGTCACAAAATAGCTGCCATGGGAGGCATGGCAAAAGAGAAATTACGTGTTTGTCACTGTAGTGAAGACCCTAACCCAAGCAACTCTGGTTCCACTGTATTTTAAACTAGCTGGGGTAAAGCTTATCTTAAAGTACAGGTAGGGCATGTAGGGTTGGAGCAATGCAGACACTGCACATTACATATCTTTATGCCACCTATTTGATATTGGAAGAATTCCTTGCGCAGATGCAACCCAAAGCCTCCAATTGGCTCAAAATGCAAAAGGAGAAAGAGACCCGCTGTTGACTGGCCAAGTTTTGTGGGTTACAAAGAGGGTGGTGGCGTTATTTGCTTTCCCAGCTGCTATGATCAAGAGCAGTCTGGCTCTCACAGATGTGATTTGCTGCAAATTAGATAAACTGTAACTCTGGTGAGTTATATGCACTGCTTTATTGGAGGTAATCCTAAACTATATTGTAATTTTACAGTTATGGCCTACAGCCTTAAAACAATTGCCAGCGCCCCATCCCCATTTCCCCCTTGTCCCTCATTCAGGGCCAACTCTTTTAGCACAGGGTTCAGCTGCAGTCTTCTGGGTGCAATTCAAGGTGCTGCTATGACCTATAGACAGCCTTAATGGCCTGCAGTCTGCAGATCTTGTGAGACATTCTCTCCTTTCTGCAAACCTTTCGTTTGCTCTGTCACAAGCTTCAAGATCAATCCCAAAGCACCTTCTCCACTATTCCAACCTCAGAGAAGTCAGAGGGGCATTCTTGGTGACTGCCCCACAGCTGTTGAACGCTGTTCTCCTTGTGCTCCAAAAGCCTAAATAGCTTTTGAGACTGTTGGTAGATTTCCCTGTTTGGGCTGGGGTTCAAGAGCCATACTTTGAATGAATGGGGCACTGTATTCAATCTCCACCCTGGACAGTCCCTGTCTGAGACCCTTTGCCGGTCAATCTGAGTGAGGCAGATCAAGGATTTGATTCAGTTCAAGGCAGCAGCAATTTTCCCAGCCCTGAGCAGCCAGGAACCAGATCTTTCATACGCCACACATGGACTGATGCACAGAAAAGATTCTGGCACAGGTCACCAGCCATGAGAACAGGCCTTTGCAGAGCTTCCTCTGTCCCTCCTGTGAACAAATACTGGAAAATGTATCCTCAGCTTCCTTAACCTTCTGCCCTCTAGATCTGTAGGACTACAACTCCCAGATTTACCAGCTGGGAGATGAACACTGGGGATTGGAGTCCAACCCATCTGGGGGGGTATCAGGTTGGGGGAGAGTGAGGAATGCTATACAACACGGGTGCACAACTTGTGGCCCTCCCGAGGCCTCTAAGGCAGCCCTCCTAACACTTCTTGCACCATGGCTTGGCGAAGCTTATCTCCGCCCCTCCCTCAGCCGTCGTAATAAAGCTTTGCTCTTTACTTGCTGATGGAAGCACTGAGGAAACAGCAATCTGTCTTAACATCTCTGGACTCACCAGGGGAGAAGTAGAAAGAAGGCTCTGCACTTCCTCCTCCAGCTGTCCTCATATAAAACACTCTTTTCCCACTGTGTCATGATTGCTGGGATGTGTACCAGTTGTGTGCATTTGTGTGTGCATACTTATATGTGCATGCACCCACAAGTCCTAAGTCAGCACTACATATGGCCCGCAGACCTGAAAAGGTTGTGCACCCCTGTGCTGTAGTGATTCAAGTATTGGACTGGGACTCAGGAACCCGAGTGCCCACTCAACTCAGACATGAAGCTCACTGGGTGACTTTGGGCCAGAAAAAAGGAGGGTTATGTATGCCCTTTGGAAGAAAGACGGGATATGCTGGTGCGCCTGCAACTGGAGTATTGTGCTCAGTTCTGGGCCCCTCATTACAGGAAGGCTATAGCCCGGTTAGAGTCAGTGCAGCATAGGGCCACAAGGTTGGTGGCCGGTTTGCAGGGGATGCCATATGAGACAAGACTGAGGGAAATGGGTCTCTTCAGCCTGGAGAAGACTTAGAGGGGATATGTTGGCGACATACAGGTACGTGAGGGGGTGTCACACAGAGGTGGGTAGAGACCTGTTCTCCCCTGCAGAGGAAGGCAGGATGCATTCCAATGGAGCAAAGCTCAGGGAACCAAGGTTCCATTTGGATGCCAGGAAGTCATTCCTCATAGTTAGGACCCTGAGGGTATGGAATGGGCTTCCACGGGAAGTGACTGAAGGCCCATCCGTGAGGGTGTTCAAAGATAGGCTAGACATGCACATGGTGGGCATGTCGTGAGTGCAGCTGGCTAGAGCCAGGGGTCAGACTAGATGGCCCGGGAGACCCCTTCTGACTTGCTCTGTTCCTATGTTTCTATGTAATCTGTCAAGTGACACCAACAACCTGCAAGCAGCTGTGTGGCATGAACCCCCCAAAGACAGAACCCAATGATCACTTGCTCCCCCCTTCTTCTTGCCTGATGTAGCCTCAGGAAAGCCCCCTCTGCTCCCGCTGGCACTCACCATCTGTCGGAAGGCCTTGGAGTCCTTGGCCCGGGGGAAGGAGCGTTCAGGCACCCAGCGGGGCACCAGCCCCTCATTGGAGCTGGCCTGGGCCCGCTGCAGCTTGGCTAAGATGGCCTTCTCCTCTTTCTGTCAAAGAGAAGCAGAGGACACAGAGGAGCACATGCAGAAAGAAGAGCCATGGGGAAAAGCTCCTGCTAAATATCTCCCGCAAAAGGAGGCATCGCTTGCTGGAGTCGCAGCCTCTGCCGCTCTGGCTTCAGACAGTGGCTGCTCACCCTTCCTGTGGAGCGTGTCCCCAGGAGACAACCAGTGCTTTGCAGTTGGACATCTCAGCTCCCTAACCCAGGAATGGGCAGAACCTCCACCTTGGACGTTTTAGTCAGCAGCTGCTAGTGCTCTGAACAGCAGATCATGTTGATAGGGACTGAGTGGAAGTCCCCAACACCTGGAGATGAGCCTCCTGCACTGCCCAGTGCTAACTCGCCCACCCACTGTATCAGACAGAGCAAGCCATCGCCACACCCCCCTAGCCTGGCTGGGACTTACCCGTTTCTGGCTGCAGCCCACAATGAAGAAGGTCTCGATGTTGTGCTCCTTAAGGTAGGCATTGCGCTCGCCCCCATGGCCTGGCTCCACTTCGTAGTCTTCGTTCAGGTACTGCAGCGTCGCCCGCGTAATGTGGATCCGCCTGCCACAGAGCTTTATCGATCAGCTATATCGCGAGGCGGAGCCCCCTGGTCACCCCACCCCATGCCCACTGGGCATTTGTTACCCAGCATTAGCAAGGAAGAGACGGTTCAATGTGGACGCAACCTGGGCTCTGACTTGAGGGGCTTGAAGCAAGAGGCCAGGATGGACAGATGCATGGCCAGGATGTGTTGGGCAGGGGAGGGTGGCAGGGGAGGGTACAAGTACAGGGAAGCCAGGGGGTTCCGGAAAGACTCTGCTGAAGAACGAGACTGGGGAACAGAAGCAAAAGTTGTGGCTGGATGGACTCAGATGGAGAAGCTTTCCAAGCACAGGGAAGCAGGTGCAGTGCCATAAAAGCCACTGAGCCGGGAGAGGGGGCCAGATGATACTGCACGGATCAGGAAGTGGAGAGGAAATACTGTTGGGGCTGAGAGGTCAAATCTGAGGAGCAGAAGAGGACTGGGAAACTTCAGACTGAAGGGCCCAATCGGGCATTCCGGGGTCCCCAGGTGGTCATGTCTCCTCCCCTGCCCCACTCTATTGTTTGTTGGTTTCCCAGCTTTTGTGCAGTTTTTCCCCATTCCAAAAGATAGATATGGCTCTCCTAGGGCTTAGTTGCTGATTTTAGAATTTGTGTCCCTGTGTGTCTGTGTGTGTGTGTGTGTGTGTAGAGGGGGGAGACACAAAAGTCAAGAAACCACTAAACGGATCAGTGATTAGAGGAAGGGGGTGTGGCCTTTAGGAGAATCTGAAGGGCTGGATTTGGCACTAGGCCTGAGTTGCTCATCTCTGTTCCATTCCTTACTTGCACAAACACAACCCAATAGCTCCATACACATGTCTGAGCAGCTATCAAGTACCTTGCCCCTACATTCGCTTGTATCAGTGGTTAGGAACCTGCAAAGACCTCTGCAGCTTTCCCTCCCTGTTCCCCACGTAGTAATTTGACTTTTAAATAAGCTTCCAATGGTGCCAAAGGAAATTTTTCCCCTTTAAGAGCTGAGGACACTGTTAAAGAAGGGGAGAGAGGAGGGAAGAGTAATAAGAATGGGATGGATGAAGGCACATAAGCAGGACTTAGTTGGGCACAGGTGGAGCTCCAGAGCAGCCCATTGTCAGCAAATCTTCCGCAAGGGAAGGTGGAACTAGGTGAGGAAAAAGGTTTCCCCCTGCTCTATAGGAACCCACCTCCCGCCAAAGCTGCCACCTCCCCCCCCCCGCAAAACCCCTTCCCTTTGCTTTGCTCAGACCTGTGGGGACACGACTCACCCTGCTTTGCCACCCGCCTCCATGTGGTTGGCCAGGGTGACATCATTGGACCAGACGTCGAACTGCCACTTGCGCAGCCCCAGCACGCCACAATGCACACGCCCACTGTGGATCCCGACGCGCATGTTCACATTCACACCTGTCACCTCACGCACCAACCTAGAAGCAGGAAGAAACAAGGAGTGTCAGAAAACCTCTCTCTTTTTACACACTCCCTTCCTTCATTCCAGCAAAGGGCACAAAGGCAGTTCATGCAGAAGTTAAGCTGACAAAGGAAGGGAGGTGTCTGCTTGCTTGTGCAGCTCCAGCAGTGTGAGTGGCACATCACAGAGTACAATAAGATAGGCCCCTGCCCTGAGCAGCTGAAATGGGGCAGTGGGCTGGATGACACACAATGGCTTAGGGCAGCCTTCCCCAACCTGGTGGCCTTCAGAGGCATTTGGACTGCAATCCCCAGAATCCCCATCCAGCAGGGCCATTGACTGGGAATTCTGGGTGTTACAGTCCAAACACATCTGGAAGGCACAAGGTTGGGGAAGGCTGACTTAGGACTTTCAAGCTAGAATGGCCAGCTGTGGGCAAGTATAGTGAATACTGAGCTTTAGGGCTGATCTAAGAAGACCAATTTATAACTCCATCAAAAACACATTCTTTTATTTTGTTGACTACTCTCCCTGGCTCTGCATATCTACAGCATCCACAAAAGGGGAAGCAGGAATGATAACAACACAGAATGCCATGTATGGCTTCTAGTGGGTACAGCAAACCACAGAACTGGAACTATGGTTTTCTCAAGTCACCATAGACCCCTATTTTTAGATATATGCACATAAGAGGCATGCTTCTGGAAGAGACATTATTTTGCTCACCCTATTAATGACAACACAAATGCTATTATTATAACAACATCAACAAATGACATTATAATTTATATTAACAAGTGATATTAATATTAATAACAAATAGCCTTATGATTAATAGGAATAACAAATAATATTATTACAGATAATATTTATAATGCTAATCCTCCACCATCCCAGAGGTATCCAGCAGGTTCCTCAGAAGCTAATATCCCAAACAAAGTTTCAAAGGAAACCCTGGGAAATTTGCAAGGCCTCTGGATGAAGTCCGTCATGGAGCATGAAAAAAACCCTAGTTTTCTACTCTTCCTCCTTTATGACCTCAGTGGTTATTGAGAGGCATTTAATATCCAATAATTATGGCTTCTAGAAGTGGGAAAAAGATGAGAAAGAAGCCGGAAGGGAGCAAGCAGCTTGGCTAGAAAAGTGGCTAAGCCCCAGGAGACAAGACCTAGCTGCAGCTGAAAGTCTGGGAACCGATGCAGCCAACAGAGAACCAAAATACACCCCCTGGGACTTGGACCTCTGCTGAGAAGTTTTCTTGGCCTGATAACAAAGGAAGGGTGAACTTGTGTAACAGAGTCAGGGGCAGAAAGTCACTCCTCACAGAAAGGACACCCATAAGGATTGCTTTGCAGCGATAGGTACAGATTCAAACGAGGTTGTACTCTGCCGGATTGGACCAACAGCTTGTCTAGTCTAAGATTTTGCTTCCACAGTGGCCAACCGGATGTCCCAGGCACAAGCTCACAAAGTGAACATGAGTGCAATCGTGCCCTCCCACTCCTGTGGCCCAGCAACTAGTACTGAGGGGCACACTGCTTCCAATACAAGGGGAAGCCCACAGCCTCATGACTGGTTCCACTGATAGCCTTATCTGCCATGAATCTCTCTAATTACCTTCTAAAGTCATTCCAAGTTGGTGGGCACTACTAGAATATTTACTAGCTTTTGCCTAGTGCACATTCTTTTTTCCAGGACCCAGATGTCCCCAGACTGTGGAATACATCTGGGGAAGGAGACACCTGGGTTGCAGGTGAGAAGGAACAGAGGCAAAGTATGTGAGACAACTAAACCAAGAAGAAACCGAGAAACTGTGCAAAAGCTTCTTCTGGGAGACCTGCCAGATAAAGGCAGTCCTCAGGTTGCTAAGGAGTTCCATTTCTGAGAAAATAGAAATTAGTCTTTAAGTTGAATTTATGTGTAAGTCTGATCACCTATAGTCAGCTCTCCACATTCATGGAGGTTAGGGTCTCAGGATTCCTGGGAAAGTAGAAAAATCACAAATATATCTAGGCTGACCCCTCTGTCTGAACACACCAGCACCTCTTTGCAGCAAGGAAATGCCAGGGAGATTCCCTCTCACAATGCTTTGGAGGCCTCCCCCTCTACCCTTTCAGTTCCTCTCTCTCTATGGTGATTATTTGGAGTCCTTCCCTCTCTCTTCTCCTGTTTCTTCTCTCTCTCTATGGTAATGACAATTTTTCACAATAATTTTTAAAAAAAATTAATAGGCTTTATGGCTTTTTGTTCATAAGTATGGGGTATTCATAACTCGGATGTTCGTAACCTGCGCTTTTGTTAATTTCTGATTCTTCAGCAAAAATGTCAAGAGTGCTAACTATCTTTCTCCAAAATCAGAGGAATCCTAATATGGCTGTTCTAAAGCCAGCTCCAAAATTAGGTATTAGGAAGCACAGAATACATGCAGCGATGCATTCAGAGGCTAGCAACCGTGCCGACACTGATGCTGGCATTTTTACCATGTATCTCTTTCCCTCCAAGTAGCTTCTGGCTCATAACTGACAAGCCTTAGTTAAAGCATCTGGATCCAATCTTGATCTCTGGAGGGAGTTCCAACTTCATGTCTGCCCACCAATATCCCATTGGTTTCATTTGCCTTTCCACACTGCTACTGCATAAAAAGAACACTGCAGCGCCCTTTACATAAACAACAGGGTTGTTCTGCCTCCTGCAATTACACTGTGCAAGCTCAGGACACGACAGCAAGGACAGACCTAGCGCCGAAAAGGGACTTTGGTTTTCAGGTTTTGGGAAAGAGGAAGTTGCTACACCATATAGCTATAAAGATACTCTTGGCAATGTCTAGTAAACTGCAGGAGCTGGAGGAGGAGGAGGAGTGGCATTTAGCAGGACTTCCAGTGGTCGGAAGGTCAAAGCAAGACATCTCCCACCCTTGAGCTAGCTGAAGCAACAATTAAAGGCATGAGAGCAGAGGGAATACAGGTGTGCTTCTTCATGCAAAACTTGGATTTTTCTACTGTGTGGAGCAAACGTAGCATCCCCAGGGCTGTCTCCAAGAAGCTGCTACAGCTCCAGGATCTGCTGAATGGTGTGTGTGTGTATAGAACAGGCTACATCATGCAAGCATGTGGTCCTCCATATAAATGAACGATGCTTCATGGAGAAAATAATCGATCTTTTGCATTGCAGAAGGTAGTTTCTGGACTTGCAAGAAAGAGAGATCTAGCTTGTTTCTGGACCACTGCATAGTCCACATGACATACTCCAGATATTGCCATAGTATGTTGCATGTCGACTCCATGCACAGAAATGTGCATACAAAAGCCGTCACAGACAGCTCGTCTTATGTACTGCGACCTGCTTCAGATATTGCACTAAATCATGCTTTACCTTTTATTGTGACTAGAAGCAACAGTGTGCCTCCGCAGATTTACACTCCCCCTCTGCAGATGCCAGGAGGATAGAGGAAGCTTTTGCTTCCAGTTTTAATTAACCACAGCTTGCCATTTAGCCCAAACAAACCAGCTTCAAGCCATTGTTAAAATCAACCCCAGTTTGCTGGACAAAACAACAAGTCACTCTTGATCAAAAATGAAAGCAAAAGCTTCCTCGATCCTTCTTGCAGTTGTGCCAGCCCTAGATTTGCTTGAACTCCTTCCTGTGACAATAAAACAAGGCTTCATGTTATGGCTGCTGAACTGGCCCATTGCATGATGCGCTCAAAACAGCAAGTGCAACAGAAAGCTTCATTAGCACCTTGAAAAACACATTTGACACAGCAGAGGCCTTTGCGTCATCAGATGCAAGGAGTGTCATCTTCAGTTGGCAGGTGAATCAATACATATGGCTATGGAAGGAAATGATGCAAACCTGGCATCCAATAGCAAAAAAACCCAAAAAGTATAGCCTTGTAACCAGCAGCAGCAGTGATGCTGCAATACTATTGTCTGGTGATTTAATCCAATTTATCGCAGATTTTCATTGCCTTTTGAAGCCAGTGTTTACATTCTTCCCCTCCACAGCTATAGGGGTCTATGTACACCTGACAACTGAGGGCAATGCTCCAAGTCTCTCCGGTCCATGGCAGCTTGTGCCACCTATAAATCAGTTAGTTAGGATCACAAGACTCTTTGCTGCTAGCCCTCCGGCAACTAGTTGCAAAGAGTGTGGGACACACGCTACGAAATGCAAGCCAAGCCTCTCCCCATCTCACACTCACGAAATGGCCTCGATCATGTCAACGCCCATCTCCACGCAGCAGTGAGCATGGTCTGCCCGCGGCTCCGGCAACCCCGACACACAGTAGTAGCAATCGCCAAGGATCTTGATGCGCAGGCAATGATTCTCCTGCAGAAGGAGGCGGGAAATTCAGCACTGTCTGACTGAAGCCTGGCCATGCTGCCCTGCCCCAGCACTTCTCACTCCAGTTCAGTGCTCTCTTCCCACTACAGGGGAGCCCTCCCACCGAGGACTGTTGGCTAACCAACAGCTGTACTTCTACAGAACGAGAAAAAATTTACAAGCACAGAGTGTAACTGCATGCACCTTCAAGGGTTCTGCTTTGTCCATAAACCAAGGAAAGGAGGTGGCACCAGAACTGCAGTGATAAGGGATGATTTGCACATTATACAGCAGTTGTACACTGGCATTTCCTGCAGTTCGCACGAAGTGCAAATGTTGACAGGTGCGTTTCCGTAACTTGCATCTGGGAACCCCACTGGGCTGTGTGTCTCCAGTGTGAATGCTTGGGCATCTAAAGACATGCACTTCACATTCCCATTTTATGGCTTATTGGAGGAAACATCAATGCCATCCAGGCAAACCTGCGGCTAACTCAAAAGCTGCACAAAATGTGAAATAGTTCTGGGAAGACAAGAATTTGTCTTCTTGCAAATGCAGGAGAATTTTCATGAGAAACTTATCCTCAGTAATTCAAAGGCCTTAAAAAAAGCAGGGGCTGGGGGAAAAGACAGCCACTCTACTGCACTTAGAAACCCAAAGAAAACTTTTAGATCATCATTATCCAGCAAAGTTCTAAGCACGGGACTTGGGAGGTTGGAAACAGATGCACTCTTCCCAGGGTTTGCCTGACATATAATAAAATAAACTGCAGTTTGTTTTTCAAACCCCTGGGTTGTTTGGATCCCTCATCCTTTGTCTGCTCTTTCTCTACACTGCAAATGTGTTTGCAATGCCATAGTATCAGCACGCAGAGTGGCTGTTTGGGTTTTTTTTACCACTCTACCTACAGCCACATGAAACAACCAGTAGTCCTGAGTTCACATGTAAAAACAACCCATGGTTTAAACAACCCAGAGTTTTCAACTCAACAGCAAATCATGGGCACCCTTTCTGGAGTGTTAACAAATATGATTCACTAGCATGGCCACATTCATACAACCATGTAGAATTCAACAAACAATGAGTTAAATAAGCTATTGATTAACAGTGTACTGGTTCATATGTCATGACAAACTGTCATGGATTAATTTACCTGTGGGGTTTCTTGCACTTCGCTGGGCACCCATAGATGCCATTTCTGCATGGTACTTGCAGGCGCTCAGCTTATCATAGCTCTTATGTCATTCAAACCCAAATGGCAGGGTTTGAGATTTGACAACCTTAAAACAAGCCCTGAGTTATTTGAGGGCTGCCTCACTCTCAAACAATCAGTGCTCTCTGAGTCACAGAACATGACAAGCCATGGCAAGTAAGGCTTCCATAGGCTCCATGAAAAAAGGGCGCCTGTAAAGCTGAGAATGGTACTATAGCATCTATGGATAAATTAACCCAGGAGGAATGCTAGGTCATGTAAACCAGGTTGTTACAGATCAACCAAGTCACTGATTCCAGGGAATATGTGAAATAGCAAAGCTAGAAAAGCAAATGGGATCACTTCACCAACTAAACACAACAGATGGGGTGCCACTGTTCTTTGGGAAAGAAAAAGCTGTATTACTCTTCTTTCCTAACCTTCCCTCCCTGTGCCCACATCCCCTGGCCGAGTCAATTCATCCTGTACCACTGAATGCTCCCTTTGTCACTTACCGCAGCCAGCTTGTCAAAACGGGCAAAAAGCTCATTCAGTGTCATGACCAGTTCCTGTGCTGTGCATTGAGATGCCAGGCTAGTGAACCCCTCAATGTCAGCAAACAGAATGCTGTTGGATGAGGAGAGAAAGGAACAAAAGTGAATACAGCGACCTTCAACCCGGCAGCGGCCTCTGGTCCCATTCTTAGTGTCATGAGGCTGTCCTGACCCCAGCCCACATCTTCTCCCCCATCTGTTTGCTAAAAAAGTGTTCTGTGGTTCAAATTCCCCATGCTTATTGCCGAATGTTCTTTGGTAACTGGCCTTCATTTCTGCTCCCGCTCATGGACACATTAAGCTCAAAGGCCGTAGTACCTGACATTGTCATGTTTCTGGATGTAGATCTTGTGGAACATCATGTCCTCCTTCTTGGTGTTGATGTCCTCCTTCATCTCCATGGCAACATGCTGGGGCAGCACTGACAGCAGGAGCCGCTCCTGCCCACCCCACAGAGAGAAAAGGCCCATTGCAGCATTCCAAAAAGCAAGAATTTTTGCCACAAAACACTGAAGACCAATGCCCCATACTGGCTCCCGGCCTCAATAACCATATTCCTCCTTCCTTCCCTTGCAAACCAGTCACCAGACAACTAAGCTCCCTATTCCACATGTTTGTAGTGAGTGGGCCAGGCACTCACTCTTTGCTGGCTTTCCAAGGGCCTGTGTTACAGGATTCTGAAGAGGACTCTGCAGAAGAGGAGATGCAAGGACAGGAGGATCAAAAGGAGGCAGAAGCCTTTGAAGGTCCTCCAAGGTCACTGCCTACAGTTTCCCAGTGCAACTATGAGAGCAGACATGTTTTAGAAGAAGATGGAGGAGTCCCAGGAGGGGAGGGAGAGCCATTGTCTTGCCTGGTCCCTGACTCCATGATGAGGTGTTGGGAAAGACAAGCTACCCAGTTAGAGGGCTTATGTAGGTTTCACCAGCTGGTTCTCCACTAGTGGGGGTGATCTTGAGGATGGGGCCTGTATTGTTACCAAAAAGGAAGGATTGGGGAGAAGTGTCCAGTTTGGGTTCAACTCTACATGAACAGAGGCCTAGCATTCAGCTCGCTGGAGGGCTCTTAGGGTTGCATTGTCTTATTGGCTGTGAAGTGCCAGTAAAGATCTGCATTATGAAGTACTATCTGGTGTTTTGGCAGGGCGGGGTCCGGCTTAATATTCTCTACTCATAGCTACTCAGCAGTAGCAAGCAAGCATCAGGCATTGTCAGTGGGGGGGGGGGGGGGGGGTTACACTTGACTAGGAGCAGGAGATCCAGAGGGACGTAGCCCAGCATGAAATCCCATTACCTGTATGAAAAAAACAGCCTAGATTGTGGAGCCTGCTGGAGGATATGGGATTTATAATTTATTTATTTATATATGGAATGCATGCATTTATGTACCTATTGTCCAGATCTTGTAAGATTAGCTGGAATGATTTAAAAGCAGGTTTACATCAAAATGAGCAACATTCTGAACCGTAACTCACTGAACCTGCCCTTCTTTTGGACAGAAAGAGGGGCTAGTTTACATGATCAAACAAGGCGCTATGGCTAAATGATCAAAGAAGCTGCAGTGGTTTGTTTAAATCAGTGGCATGTGCTGGGTGCCATTAGCATAATTACCCACTCAGATGTGGCTTGTTGGGTCAACTGTACCAAGATGACACAGCTCATATGAGGGGGAAACTCACTTCAGATGATGCAACAACAAACCATGGGTTATCTGAAGTTTATTTGCCCCTCCAAAAAGCAATGCCACCCAGATTCAGGCAACATAACATGTACCAGGCAGGTGAATAGGCTAAAGGTGCCTGGCATATGCCGCTGATTTAAATGAGTCTGACTTAAATGGCATTTTAAAGCCACTGAGGCTTGTTTTGATCATGCAAATCTGTGGTTGCACTGTTAAACTTGGATTTATATACTTGGTTCAGACAACAAGATAACTTACACTCAGTTGTTAAGTATTGGTTGAGTGTGGGCTGCTGCTGACCTGTGGGTTGTTGTGAACCACCCAATGAACTTCAGCTATGGGCTGGCATAAATAAATAAACCCAATGAGAAACCATGGGTACTTTTTATGGGGTTCATGGCTAACAAGCCATAGCTTGTTATCTTGGCTGGATGCAGACCTGGTAGCCCATGTTTCAACAACAAACCATGGTTCAGTTGAAAACCCACATTCAGCCCTTGAGTGTGGATTCTTGTGCTGCCTGAACACAGCCACAGTCTGACAGGCAGAATGATTTGTGCTTCCTTACATTTCTCAAACAAGCGGTTCTAGAATTCCTTGTGCATAAGCATGAGGGATGAACAGCTGGTTCAAGGACCAGAGTAGCATAATAATCAGGGACACTGATCCCACAGACAGGGAGAGCCAGTGCTGTTGATTTACAGGTCCCAAATATATGTAAATGTCTAGTTTATATACCACCTTACCACCATACTGCCACATCTGGCTATAAATACAAGTAGCCATCTATGCAAGAGGGTTAAACAGAGAACTAAAAACAGCAAAAGCCGCCTAGTTATTTTATCTGTCAAGTATGAACTTGCAAGAGAAACTGATTTTGGGGAGATCATTCAAATTTTTCTGATGAAAAAGTCTATGTATAAATGTTTTCAGTCACATCCATGCATTAGAATACCCTCAAATACTGATACCTTTACTAAACACTTGCTAAAAAGTTACAAAATAGTTACCCACACTTTGAAGGCCTGTAGGTAGAAAAATAGCACCAGAAGGAGCAGGAGCATGATAGGAAAGTCTCAATGTGCAGCCTCAGCCATGAAGAATAATAATTTCAGACTTAAAATAGAAACTTTTCATTCATGAGACCATAACCAAGGACCAGACTCTGGCATGTGTAATAGAGGGGACCTGTGTTAGAAGTTTGTACTGAGCCCCAAAAAAGGATACTTGAGCCTTCCTAAACCTCTTGCCTCCTCTTCTCCCTAAAGAGGGAAGCCATCCTGGTACTGACCTTGCAAGAGGAGGAACTCCAGACCAAAGCTGGCCCTTTAAATGCATGGCTTACACTCATCCAGGTCCCGCTAACCAAGAGACCCGCCCCACAAGGCTGCTGCCCAATCCAGGTGCCTCCCCCACCTGCTGGCGGTTTTCACGTTGCAGGTGCAGCCGTGCCTGTATGTAGCCACGGGTCTCCTGGAAGGCCTGGCGTTGCGACACCTCCGCGGGGTAGTGAGTGCAGATGCCAATGACATTGGTGCAGAGGAAGATCAGGATGTTGGCGCCAAGCTGTAAGCAAGAGAAAGAGAGGGGAAAACCTCAGTGAAATGGCTACTGGGGGCAGACAGGAAATCCCAAGTTCCAGCTGTTTTTTGCATCACTGGTTTTCACCCTCAAGCCACCCACAGGCAGTCAGGAGAAGCAACCCTGCCAGTCCAGCTCCATTTCCTGGCATATTAGTTAGGGATTGTCCTCCCTCTGTCCCAAGAACAGGGTTCCCTCCCTAAAGAATGAATCAGGAGCTTTGTCCAAAGAGGTCCTCCTGGCCCATAAAGGGGTCTTTGTTCTCCCCCTCAGCCCTCCATTGCTGCCCAGGAGACCAAATGTGCTGCTGGGGTGAGTGGGTGGCAGGAAGGCCCCCACGTTGTGGCTTTGGGAGACAGAGGGCTGGAACACAAAAAAAGACATTTCCATTTGTACAGAGGCTTGAGGGAGGTAGGAACCATATTTCTTCTCTCCAATGAAAGGGTTCTCCCCAGGACTGAATCCATACAGAACAAGGAGAGCAGAAACTCAGGCCTGGGGGGCAAATCCACCCTGTCAGGGTTCCTAGCTTGACACACCCATTTTTCCTAGCTCTACCTCCTTTCCCCTGACCACCACTCATTTGGCACTATCCTGAGTTTTGGAGAGTTGTTCCCACATTGTAAAAGGCTGAAATGCCTCTCCTAAGGCTTAGAGATTGGCAAGGAGAGCTTTAAGCTACACTATATTCTAATATATACATAGAGTCTACACATTATATTCTATATTCTAAACTCCAAGACTCCTTGGCTTTGGATCTCCCTGTCATTCTCTTGTGCCTTCCTAGTTCTTTTCTTCCAAAAACCCTAAATTTACTCTAAACTCCTCCTCTAACACTCTCTCACAATCCCCCACGGCAGCCTGTTTCTCCCACATTCCATTTATCTCAGACTGACACTTCTTCCTCTTCGTGATCTCTCTTTTACACATACACACAAACACACACTCCTTCCATGCATCCCAGTGCACCTAGCTTCAGTGTTGACTTTAAATGCTTGCTATCTTTAGCCTTCTCAGCGTTAATGCATGGTTCTAATTCCCCTGATGTGTGTTTTTAATTCACTTTCTTTAAGGAAACAACGAATTGCTTTCAAGGAGCTCACTGATACTTCTGAGTCTCTCAACATTGGGGTGTATCAGGTTTTCCTCAAAAAAGAGCCTTTATTTACATGTGTGGCTTACATGGATACACACCCATGCAAATTAACGTATATTTTGTAACCCAATAGTTGACTAGATGGAGAAATACTCTGATCTGATATAGGGAAATGCCCCCCACCCCCAAACACACACATCCTGAAGATAGGAGCACCTGACATCCGGGATCAAAGAGCAACAGGGGTGGTGTCCAATCTCTTTCGGCCAGAAGGCTGAGCTTAATTTAAAAAGGTTCTTGGTAGCTACCTTAGACGGGAGGCCAAAGGGGTGGGCCCAAAACAGCAAAAATGCCAGCATTCTTTAACTTGAGGCTCTTATTGTCAGCAAGCAAGGCTGGCTCTCCCATGAGACAGACTGCTCCAGGTGTTGGGAGAAGAGTGTCAAGCTGTGGGCTCCCCCAGGAGAGCTGCTTCCCCCCCGCCGCCCATGGGTGCTCCGGAGAGCCCTACCAGCCACTCACCCACTGTGGCATTTGCTGTGGCAGCAGGATGAGGAGAGAGGCTGGGCTCTCCAGAGCAGCCCGTATTGCAATGGGAGTGGAGCGCTGGTGATCCTGGCAAACTCCAGTGAGAGAGTGGCTGGTGGTGTTCCCTGACGAAGCTGCCCTCAGGCAGTTTCACTCCAAGGGGCTCTGCAGAGCTTCCTTCCAGGGATGAAAGGCTGCTCTCAGTCACCTGCTCTCTGGCCTGCACTGAGAATCCTCTCAGTGTGAGCTGAAGAATGGGCTGGTTCTCCAGAGAGCCATGTGGGACAGGAGGAGGAGCATGTCCAGATCTTCAGAGAGGTGGCCAGAAGGAGTCCTTCCTGGAAGCCAGGCATTGTGGAAAGAGTATCCCAAGAGATCACCTGCACTCTCAGCAGAGTTCCCGATCACCTGCCTGCCTCTGACCCATACACAGGGGATCCTTGATGTGCCCTGGAATGTGGTGGCAAGTGACATGGTGGCTATGGGGTGGGGTAGGAGGCGCACTGCGGCAGTGGCACGTGGGAAGAGCCTATGGTAGGTGCGCTATCCCACCTCTGGCAGAATGAGCGCCTGTGCCAGGGCTACCCGTGACTACATGTGAGGAGAGCCATGTCAGCCTTTTAGAATGGAAGGAAAACTGCAAAAGCCAGGAAACCACCGAAGGAACAGTGGTCAGAGGAAAGGACCGTGGTGGTCTGGGAAACCATGGCCAGGACCCCAAGCAGGACATATGTGGCACAGGTATGACTTGCAACAGCTCCATGGCTACTACACATAGCTGGGATGGTGTACCAGTGCCTAAGCGAGTGAGCTGTAGCCACTAGCTGAAAGCTCGCCAATGGCTAGTTAGTTAGTTAAAGGCACAAAACTTTTCAAGACACGGCACAAAGTTTAACAGGTAATCCTGGACTAGGCAACCTTTTTTGGGCCATGGGCACATTTGGTGTTTTGAGAAACTGTCCTGGGTACCCTCACAAAATGGCTACCATGGCACAGGAGAAGAAACCTGAAAACAAGGCAGAGAAAAGTTCGAGGTCCCAACGTATTAAATCTGAACACACAATTTTCAGTACCAATAAAAACCAATCTCTTTCACAGGAATCCCAGATTCTGGTGAGAATATATGCTAAATGAAAAACCTCTCTGGGGGGAGCGGGGTTGGGCACTTTGATGGCACCAAGAAAGGTATCCAGGATTTACTGGTGCATATTACCTGCCTCTAACATAGTCCCTTCCCACCAGTCTACAATGTAATAGGCATGATATAACAGGAAAAAGGATTTGGGAGGGGACCAACAAGTGCAACGCTGAAACTTGTATTCTTCATAAACTAGCCAGATGTGGTCTGAGGGCCCATGAAGCAGCCACCAGTAAAGCAAAGTGGGTCTGGGCAGCTCCTGGGTGGGAGACCACTTGGGACCACCTAGGCCATATTAAGGTGAGATAGGAACATAATAAATCAAAGGTTAATGACTAGGTGGAATATCTATTGTCAAGGAAGGGAGAGGAGGGGAGGAGCTGAGTTGACCCCTCCCTCTACTGCAGCCATTTTTGTCTCAGTCTCACCTCACCTGCAAGATAAAGATAATGGCACTGGCCTATCTTACAGGGGTGTTGGAAGGACAATATGTGTGATGTTCCAAATGCTTGGCACATTCTCAAAGTGCTAATTACTGGCAGTAATAGGAAGAGGAAGGGCAACTTGCTGAAGAAGCCTCCAGCAAAAGTCTCAGGCGACAGACAGCAGAGGTCACATGAACATTTCCTCATGCAGTTGCCAGGTCCATGAGGCCAAGGAGGAGCTATGGCTGCCTGCCTGCAAGGAATGCAACTGGGTGAATTAGGGCTTCACTCAGCACTGCCTTGAAAACTAGATGCTTAGCAGGTTTGAAATATCCACTGACACCAATTTCTGCGGAGTACAAGAATGCTACCACCCTTTCCTAACTCACATGGGGGCACAAACAGCCTGTTGCAAATCCTTAATGTAGAGGCACCATGGAAGCAGAGGGGCTTTTGCAGAGCATCTGTCTAAAAGGGTGCACACCTTCAGCAGAAAGGTTTCGCACAGGTTCCCAAGACATATCAAGGCAGACTACGAAAATTAAAAAGGTATCCCACTAAAATTAACAACACAGAGCTGCATGGGCCTAAAAAAAATTTCCCATCAGCCAGAAGAGCACCTCTGTTCAGTGCCAAAGCTTTATAATATTTTTTAAATGCTCACTAGACACTTAGGTTAGCACAGGGGTTTTCCATTATGCAATACAATAATCAGTCTAGAATTAATATAGATGTACTTCCTCAATCAATTTCTGCAGTACTAGGAAAACAAAGTTCAGGTAGTACAAAATATTTCCCAGCCAGGTTTACAACCTCAGTTATCCTCCTGCTAAGTATAATGGGAAGCTGAGGAGAGAGAAGCCATTCTCCAAAACAGATTAAAAATTATTGACAGGGGATTTCATTTACTTATTAGGGTAGGGTGTCAGTATGGCAGAATAAATCTTTTACATCACAGGATAGAGGATCAAGATTCACTGTGGAAGGCCTAGATTTAAATCCCTGCTCAGCCATGCAGCTGATTAGTAGCTCAGCACTTGTTTGCCACATATGAAGTCCACAAGTGCATGCTCAGCTTCTCCAGCCTTGTGTTAAAGTTTCGGCCAGGGAGCCACAGGGAACGGGGATTCTACATGAGGGCTGGCAGAGGAGAGATGCACCGGGCTGCTGCAGCACCACTCTCCATCCCTCCCGTCATCCCTCCTCAGGTAGAACCGGCTCCCTCAGGCTAGTGACTCTCACAGTACTTGACAGATGTCAAATAATTGGCACAGGAGTGTGGAAGGCCACTGTCCATCCAGGAGGCAGGGCTGCGGAAGACCTCTCTTCAAGACCTTTGAGGAGCTGATGCCAGACTTGAGTAGACACTTGTCTGGCTGCAGGACCCATTGTCGGATTTGGTATCTGGCAGGTCTTTACTATACTATTGGGCTTGCAATCCAGAGACATTGTAACTTATCATAATGGTTTATTTCTGATGCCAAAAACATGTATTTTCTTTCTCAATAATGAATATGTCCCATCAGGCATCATCTTGGAAGCAGCATTTCCTCTGACTTTCTCTCACACTTCTAGGGGAAGCACTTCTAGGAAGGAAGAAACGGGGCAAGCAAGGCAGTTTCTCCATCTAGCACATTAATGTCAAGCAGAGTCTTCAGGTTTCAGGTACAGAAAGGACCAGTTTGCATGTTGCACTAACCTGTATTTTTTTTAAAAAAACTGGCAGTTATTGATCACTGTTGCTGCAAGTGGGAGTAACTAAACAAGCCATGGATATTCCATCTGTGGTTTGGTTAGCAGCAGCTCTGGCCTGTCTCTTCCCTGAGAGGTACGAGGAAGAACCCTTCATTTCAGAGTCATTCATGGTAATCCCAAATTGTAAAAATTGTGGGTTATCACAAATTAGCTTAAGGAATTTTAAAGAAATGGAATTCTAATTTTTTATGGTGGGTTGACAGGATGCACAAGCTGGGTTAAATTTATCCCCCATCATTGAGAAAGAAAATAATAAAAACCTAGGAAGAGATGGCAACTCAATGATAAAGCCCCTACTTTGCATGTAGAAGGTCCCAAGTTTGATGTCCAGTACCACCAGGCAGGGCCACAAAAGCTCCTGCCTGAAGACTTAGGGAAACACGGCTGCCAGTGCATATTAACCAAGCTGAACCTGATGAGCCCTTGGTCTAAGACAGTAAGAGGAAGTTTCCTGTATTGCTAGCCAAAGATGTTAGAGATTGACCCTAGGCATTCCAGCATGTGAAATGTGTTCTGGCATGGAATTTGGGCCCCTCTCACCTTCTTTGGAGATGGTGTTTGACATCTGCAGTTTTCATAAGAACGTACGTCTTTACAGGCTTGTGTATGTCTGTTGGAAAGACTGTGTTCTCCCATAGGAGACTTCCTGGGCCCTTTCCTTGGTGCCACCACCCTCACAGATATGCTTGGTGAGAATGAGGAGAGGGCCTTCTTGGTGGCTGCCTGGAGGCTCTGGAACTCCCTTCCCAGGGAAGCTAGGCTGGTGCCTCCCTGCTGGCTTTCTGAAATCAGGCAAAACCCTTTTTGTTCCAGCAGGCATTTGGGAATGGCCTGTGAGTTTGCTCTGGCTTAGTTTTATACTTTATATTATTGGTTGGTGTTTTTTAATCTGTGTATTTGTTCCATTTTAATCTCTAATTGATTTAGTTAGATGTTTGACTTTTGTATATTTTTGAATGTTTTAATTGTATGAATTGTAATGCTCCATCCCACCTTGACTCCCAATCACAGGGAATACGTGAGCCAGCAATACATAGAACAACAGCAACAACAATAGATTTGCTTCCTGGTTAATTTGGAGCATCTTTTTAGCAACGTTGTTTGATCAATTCATCTACCCAGCCACTGCAGCCCTACTTCTTCCATGTGAGCCCATTACCAGCTTCTGTTCCTTGGTTACGCTTGGTTTACCTTATAGCTCATCCTCACTCTTACTATGCGACTGCCTATGATAATGACAGGTACTTAGCATGCTCAGAAGTCTGCTGGGTGGCTCCTGAAAATTCCTGCTCAGCCTAGCATAGCTGACTGGGTGGCTGGAAGAAGAGAACTGTAATCCTCCTTAAGCCACTAGGACAGCACAGGAAAGAGTTCTAAAAAAAATCATACGCAAGATAAGGCTTTATCCCTGGTCACCTACAGGTCCTATGACAGTGGAAAGAGGATCTTAATACAAGGCTGCCATTTGATCTGCTGTGGAAGGGGAGAGGTGAGATTTTGAAACATTAGCCAGGAGTGGAAAACTTTCAGTCCTCCAAATGGTGTTGGGCTACAGCTCCCATCATCCCTGATCTCTGGGTCAACAGCATCCAGAGAGCTCCTGCTCTATATATTGGACCTTCCACTGAGAAGTGCGGCAGTGGTACTTTATTGGATTACTTCCAATATTGTGGACTCTATGAACACGAACGTCAAAAATGGGATCTTTCCCACAATGCCACTGAGGCTGAGTGGTTCACTTTGCGGCTGAGGAGACATTTCTCTCTCTCTCTCTCTCTCATAGCAGGAGCAAGGACTGCTCATGATGCTGGTTGTGGGGAACTGTGTGGTCAGTTCAAAGGAATCTCCTCTTCACACAGAGCAATTGCTCGATGGAATTCACCAGCACAAGATATACTGCTGGCTTTCGCTATCTGGATGGCTTTAAAAGAGGATGGGGACTATTCATGGACAACAAGCCTATCAATGGCTACTCCTCTTCCTCAGGGTCATATGCCACCTCCAGCATCAGAGGCAGCATACCAGTGTAGACCAGTTGCTGAGGGAAATGAGTAGCAGGGTAACTGTTGCACACCTGCCCCACCTGTGGGATTCCATGGGCAGCTGAGTGGCCACTGTGTGAACAAAATGCTCAATCAGATGGACCCTTGGTCTGCTGCAGTGCAGCTTGTCTTCTGTTATATTCTTAAGACAAACAGATTCTATCCATAGCTCTGAATGATGGCAAAATTAATGGTCATTCATTTGCAGACAGAATTCTATCTCAACAGACAGAAATGGAATCCTTCCTGTGAGCAGTCGTGAACGGCAGGGGATTGGGCCCCAAGGAGATACTCCCAGACCACAGATGCCCTCCAGAAGTAACTCTCCAGCTGCTGCTGCCAACACTAGATGGTTCAGGGTTGAGTCATACTTGGTTCCCCTCCTAGAAGATGCTGCAGTAATTGCAAGCATCATGTGGGAAGTAGTTTTTTTTTAAAAAATCCTATGCAGCAATCCTAAGATTTAAACGTGACTAACTCCTTCTGTCTTCCTGGAGATAAAAGGCTGATAAAGGCAGCCATATCCGCAATCCTCTTCGAAAGGGAGTACTGGACATTAAGCAAGGGCACAGTGAAAGAGTGAAAGCAAAGCGGGGGAGTAAGCAGGAGGCATCACTGTGCATGTGAATGAAACCAAGGCAAAGGTCAAAGGGGTAAAAGCAGGCACAAGGGGACAGACTTCACTGCATTTAATTCTCCACAACCCCCTGCAATGGTGTTCTATTAGATGCCTTGGAAAGAATGGTGTCTGCAGAGTTACTCCCAGAAGAAAGCATTCCTATTTGGAATCAACAGGGCTAGCAGACTACATCAGAACACTACTCCAGGGGGACAGAACATCCCACAAATGTGATGATGTCTGAGGTTGTTTCAAAACCAGTTTCAATAATGGGGCAGAGATATGTGTCACCAAGTCCAGAAAATGCTGGATTATTCTATGTAGCCTCCCTCTAGTGGCTTCTTTTCCTTCCTCCCATCTTCTCCATGATGCATGTTAGCATTGTATTATTGCTACTATAAGGTTCGCTCCCATGGTTTTAAACGATTTGTACTTAAGGAGTACATCATGTGGTAATTTCAGAACATCGTAATTGCAGCATCATTATGTAACTTTTCAGCAAACTGAATTTGAAGGATTTCAAAAAGTTTAAAAAATATCAAAGAAATGTTGTTGCTTTCTAGGGGAAAAGAAACAAAACTGCAAAAAGGTGAATCAACTGCTTATTAATGCAGGATCAACTGAACTTTTGCATTTACTAGCCCAGTAAGGATGCACATTTAAATTATGCTTCTGCCTTCACTTCAGCAGTAAACTGAGCAATGAAGAACCCAATTCAAGACTTGCAATGAAAGTATATAAAGGGATAGGCGGGAGAAGGTTTAGATGGAGAAAACAGGGTCTTACACAGCACTGATTCTGCAGAAAGTAAGATACAGTGATGTCACATGTGCAAATGCTTAGGACCTGGATTGCAGGGATGGTGAGGTCAGAAAACTGTTATTGCCACACTGTTCCCAGAGACTGAAAAATAGGTAAGGTGTTATCTTCCATTGCACTGATTTCTAGGGTGCAAGGGTACAATACAGAACTGTTTTACCACGCAAATAATTTGAAACCATATTAAATATTCACATTTCAATGTCATCCAAGCTTCAAATAAGATCAGAGAAATGTTCCAAAAAACAGAGTGGTGAGATGGGAGGTTACGCCTGGTAAAAAAAAAAGGGGGGGGGAATATGCCTGGAGTACAAGAAAAAGAAGGGCAGACAAGACATGCAAAAGGCCCACAAGAGCCTGAGTTCCCCACTAAAGAACTGACCACAAGCATTCCATTAACCCGCAGCTACTAAGACAGGCCCCACTTAAGGAACCTGCCACTGATTTTGTGCTGGGCAAATAGCTCAGAGGCAGCTCCAGCCACACAGACTGCCAAGGATACTCTGGCCATTGTGGTGCAACCACTGGAGAGAGGTAGGCAGGGACACAGAAGTCACTGAATGGCAGCAACGGCCCAGTGAAACCCCACACTCATTCCATCACCAAAGGCATTTCTTGGCATATCACATTTGAGGTGCTGTGGAGAAGGAGCACTTTTCTCATCCCTTCCAGAAACGGGGGCCGCTGCAGCATGGTGTGGGGGCAAATAGCACAGGCTTCTCCCAAATGACTCAAGGCTTCTCAAGTGACCGCATTAACATAGGAAGGAGCCCATGACAGCAGCGTTGGTACTCTTTAAAATGCACTTTAGACCAGGGTGGGCAGACAGCAGAGCTCTGGGTGGTTTGGCCCTCTCCAAGCATTCCTAGCCCTTCGTCATGCTGGCATGGGCTTGTGGTAGTTGAAGTCCCTAACGTCTGGAGACCTACCCCCTGCACACCCCAGCTTTCGCCGCCTGCACAAGCCACTTGCCTGCTCCCCTAACAAAGCCTGGGCAACCCTCGTCCCTGTTTTCACACCCCAGGCCAGCCCCTTCAGCAAAGCACCTCCACTGCCCAATTAGTGTAAGGTTTCAAAGATAGCAGTTTCCAGGCAGCTATGGACTCTTTCCTTTGCCACCAAAGCCCTCATTGTCCTCCGAGGCCTCCTCCCTCCTCCCGTCCCTTCCCCCTTACCTGCTTCCAAAGAAAGGAGTCTGCCCTGTTGTGATGCCAAGAAATTCCGAGGTGAAGCACAGACAGGACGGCTCCAGCCAGCACCGCCACCCGCATGCGGACGGGCAGCAGAGTGTAGATGATGTAAATGAAGAAGACGCTCCACCAGACCCCTTCGGAGGCACTCCGTGGAGAGAGGAAGAACGTGCCCACTGTCTGCACCACACACAACGCCCCAATGACCAGGTAGCTCACTGCCCACATGCAGTCCTGGTGGAAGCAGGTCCGGTTGCAGAGGAACATGAGGGACAGGAAGAGGGCGGCTGCCACAGAGAGGGCGGCAGCGAAGGGCACACGGGGCGCGCCAGGCACACAGTGGAACACCAACATGATGCCGCAAGCCAGCACCAAGACTCCCATGAGCACCGTCAATGAACTCTGGTTCATCTGGAAGAAGTAGCGCTGGTAGAGACGCTCCAGTTTGGCTGAGCGGAAGCGCTTGGAGCGGAACACCTGCAGGAGGCGCTGGCCACAGTCTCCGACCGAGAGTCCCTTGGCCTCACCCGCTGCACCTCCGTCCTCGAAGCCCAGGTCCACTGCTTTGAGCCCCAGATCCCCTATCCCAGATGCAAGGGGAGGGGGCGGCAGCTGCTGCTGCTTCTTGCCATAGTGGTCCTCCTGCCACGAGCAGTTCAGCCCCAGCCCACCGCTGCCTCCACGCTCCAGCTCCGGGTCCTGTAGGCAGCTCATGTAGCGTGGCCCACAAAGCGCTGGGCGATGGCGCTTGGGCCCATTGCGCTCCCCCCAAGCAGTCTTTCGCTCATCCACTTTGGGCACCAGAATGCCACTAAACCAGGACATGCTGTGGGAAAGGGAAGAGAGGCAGGGTCAGGCAAAGACAGACGCACAGAGGAAAGGCGCACCTACGGTTGCCTCTCCAAGAGACGCGGCTGCATGCGCTTCCCAACGAGGTCCCAACGAAGAGTTCTTGCCACAAACAAATAGGAAGGAGGTTCCTGGGGCTTTTTTCTTGCTAAAGGAACTCTTGTGATGCGGTGGTTAGAGTGTTGCACTGGGGACCCAGGAGAACTGGGCACCAGTGCCGACTCGCCTATGCAGATCCCTAGGTGACTTTGAGCTTACACTTAGTCTAACCTACCCGACAGGGCTGTTGTGGTAATAAAATGGAGAGGCAGGGGACCATGTAAAAACTGCCTTGGATTCACCACAAGCGTTAAAAAGTCACAATGTAAAGGTGTTATATTATTCAATAAACTGATGAATAAATAAAATCTAGACATATGCTATCCTGGGAGTTAGCAGCTAGGGTCCCATATTTCTCCCTGGGATCTGGGCCACGGGGTCAGCTGCACCCTGCTCATCAGGATGTGCTTCAAGGCAGCACAGTGTGAGTGGCAGAAGTCAGAGCAAGAGGCAGCAGGCACAGAAAGGAAGATGCAGGTGGGCAGGAGGATCCAGAAAAGCAAACCTGGGGGTCCTACAGAGGGAGGCATGGGACTACTTGAGGAACAGCAAGGCAGAGGCCTCTTGCTCTGCCTTGGGGAAACCCCCGATACCTGGAAGGCCACTAGGAACTGGGCACGATGAGGCGACATGGATCCCCGTAGGGAAGGAGGAGGAACAGGCCTGAGAGGAGTTTCTTATTTCCTGTTCAGCATCAAGGAGCAACCTGCAGGGAGAAAAGGAGCTGGTCAGGCTGGTCATACATGCTGGATGCCATTCCACAGCTGGAGCACCCACCCCACCCCAAGCTGCTGCAGCTCCCAGGAGCTCTGGGCCAGGGTTCTCCATCCTCACAATCCATGGCTATCTGCACCACCCCCACCCTATTTCCTTGACCTAACCCTCCCAGTTCTGTTCCAGGCACTGCAGAGTTCGTTGATGACCTGCTCCTCCGCCATCCCAAGAGACACTCCCACTGAGATGTAGCTACTTCCCCCACCCGCCCCTGTGCACACTTCATGCCGGGGGCATGGCGTGCAGCGGCTCTCCCCTACTCCCCTTGGCAACTAGCTTGGCACTACGGAAGGGACACTTTGCCAAGCAGCAGATGCTCAGCGGTAAAGGTGTAGCCACTCGGAATGCAAAGGGATTGCTCGAGCTATCTGTTTATCCCCGGTCTGCATGGAGCTAGGTCAGCCTCCCCAAATATGATGGTTGGGGGATGCTGGGAATTGTAGTCCTACATATGTGGCAAGCACCATGTCAGAGAAAACTGATCTAAAACTTGAAGGGAAGAGGAATTGAGTTATCAGACAGCTCAATTAGGTGCTGGTGATAGGAATCAGAAATGTTTTTTTCAGCCTTACAGAGAACAGTTAATAAGATCACCAGTTCTGGCTCACTTCAATTCATCCCGAAAACACCATGGGAGGAGTAGGGTGCAAGGAAACAGTGATAAATACTGCATGCTGATGCTGGGACAGGGATGGGGCATCTCCAGGCTAAATTTATCCCAACAGGCCTCCCCATTTGGCCTAGAGGAAATAAGCTTAGCCCTAGCCGTGGTGTTTCCTTGAGGACTTCCCTACATTTTCCCACACATGTGGGAATGTCTAACATTAATTCCAATGGGGGCAAAAAAGTAGAAGTGTTGCTTTTGTCAGAACAAATGACCACAGATCAAGCCTGGAGCAAAACTCAAGAGTACACTGCCCTCACCAACACGTATCCTTCCTCCACACACCCCCTGCCCATTATGATGACAAGTATTTGGCTAACATTTATCAAGAGATGGACAGAATGCCACTGGAGGGGGCGGAGTTGGGCCAGCTTCTCCACTGAAGTAGCATGGTAAGAAAGGCTGTGGCATAGTGGTTGCAAGTAAGGCGAACAGAAGGATTCATACCCTCATTTCCCCACCCCTCAAACTTGAAGAGCCCTTAGACAGCATCCTTCTGTCTCTCCAAGACAATTCCTAACGTTTTGCCACCTTCTAGAGCGCCCCAGAAACAGACTGAAGATACCCATTATTCTACGTTATTTAGAAGAGAGGACAGAACATGTCAGATAAGCCCAGGACCACTCCTAATTGCTTGGGGTCACTATGGGCAGGCAGCATCCCCCAAATGAATCTCCCAAGGGCACCCATTCACTTCTCCCCACTGTTGTGTATTGATGCCACTTACCTCCATTGAGAACTGTGGCGGAGGGAGGCATTTTTGGCTGGCACTCAAGACAAATGAGAGTAAAATACAGCCTTCGGCAACAGGGATCACAGAGAGGCATTCACAGGGACACACTGCAACCTTATGACGAAAGACAAGTCCTCTTTCCACACAAACACCACCCTTCATGGTGCACATCTCACTAACAATTATACATAAAGCGAAGCGAGTCAGCACAGCCAATAATGTGCAACCTTCTCTGTGGGATCCAGAAGATCAGACCCTTCCCAATCTGATTCATCTGACCCACACTACAAAGATCAGCTGCACTGTAAAATTCATGCTCTGCATGGAAAGGGTTCCAGGTCTGATCTTCAGCATCTCCAGACAGGGCAGGAGAAAAATCCTGCCTGAAAACTTGGAAGGCTATTGCTGCCGGTCAGTGTTGACGACACAGGGTTAGATGACCAATGGAAGGCAGCTCCCTAGGAAGCCTGACCATGCCAACACATAATTTACTAGCCCCCTTCCTTTCAACTCAGCATTCCTCTGATCACACAGTCTTGAGTCCATCCCCTTCTCCAAACTCCAGGGAGTCTTGCCCAGTGTGTGACAGAATGGATTTTGACGTGGGGAAAGGGTGGGGGGGAGTTTCTGGCAGCAGGATCCTTTCTTCCAGCCTAGCTTGCAATTCAGTGTGAAACCAAACTGGAATAGTTTTCTCCTTTCAAACTCTTATTTGTCTTGAGTGCCAGCCAAAACCAGGGCTCGTTTTAGCTCCAACCTCTTCAGAGAGCGATTCCAACACCCTCCCACACGGTTCTTATCTGCATCCATCCAGGGAGATGGCGTCAACATCATGACATCACTGCCCTTTACTGTAGGAACACAGGCATGCTTCTGAACTGGGACCCCTCTTCAACCCCTCCCCCCAGATCCCCACACACCCTGTCAAGCATGGCTTCACACAGTGACAGGGCTCAGAGAACGGCACCTTTGGTGTGGGATGCAGCCGCTAGTTCAGCATGCAAGTGGCACATGAGGACAGCTTTGTGGCAAGCCATAAAGGTCAAGGGGTGCAGGAGAGAACCCATCAGAAGAAGCACTGGACAGAAAGAAGTGGGACACTCCGTGCATGGGAAGGGGAGGGGCCTCAGCTGAACAGCACCACTTCCCATGGCTTAGCTCCTCCAGCACAGAATTTTTTTAAAAGCAGTGTTCATTAAGGACACAAAAACAAACAATAACACTGTGATAAAACAGCAACATCTTGCTGGGGCCAGCATGGATCCCAGGAAGAATGTGTGCCTTTCCCTGCGCCTCACAATGGTACCATTTCCTGAGTTGTTCTTCTCACCCACCTAATTACTCCCTGTGGCCCAGGGACTCTCTGTTCCCTATAGCACAACACCCTTCAGATTACACCAGGTGATAGGTCAAACCATATCCCCCCTTCTCCATCTCCCAGGCTGTATTCCCTGGGTGGCTGCAGTGTTACATGGGAAAGTGTTTAGGGTTCCCACAGTGACCCTGGCTGACCCCTGGCCCATTTAACTGGAGACGTCTACAGAACAGCCATTGCCCAAGCCAGAAGTAAATATAAGGGAAGACCACCTACTTCTCCCTTAGCTATGTAACCTGACCTGGTTATGAAGCTCGGCTACCTAGTGCAGTCCCATTGGGAAACCACCAATCCCTGCAGAGGTTTCCCAAAAAACCAACTGGAAGGGGAACCAAAAAGGAGTGAGGGTCAGAAAAAGAGAACAAACCATGCATTTTAGCCCCTACTGACACAAGGAGGTTTAAGCCTTTAAACCCGTGTGCCCAGGCTCAGTGAGTTGCATGGAGAGCCCCTGCCCAGAAGCCAAGGCCTTTCCTTCTGTCCCATCTGGATCAAAGTGAAACAGGGGAAAGCCACATTAAGGCGGCCCCGACGCTCACTGCATTCTATAGAGAGCTTCCAATGAACTGCACCAAAGGAACTTTCTTGACACTTGGCGATTGCCCCGAAGGGTCCCTGCAAGCACCAACTAGACAGGTGCATGCCCACACCCCTTGCCCCGGAATTCGTGCTCCTCTCCGGTGCTCTCCACTGTCTAACCCTTACCCTTCTCGGATCCGCCGGAACACTTGGACCGCCTAGCCTTCCAACGGACATGCTCCGGCCAAGATCCCCCCGCCAGTACCCCAATCAACCGAGCCCGGGGGAGGACGTCGGCCTGACTCTTCGCCCCCTCCCCTTCTCGTCGTTTGTCTCTCACCCTTCCCTAAAGCAACCTCTTCCCAAAAGGCGCGGCCTCTCTGGAGCCGGCTGTTCCCAGGCTCAGCCTCCACGGGTCCTTCCAGGCGCAGACGGTGTTCCCCTTGGAGCGATCTGGCTGCTCCCCTGCGCGCTCCTTCCTGCTCCCCAGTCTGCCTCCGTTCACTACCACCACCCGGTTGCTTCCACTCACCTCCCGGTGCATGGGCCGTTTCTGGTCAAGGCAGGCCCCACCTCTCGGGCCGGGGTGGGGGGGCAGAGCAAGCACTATTCCCTGCCCAGCGGATCCTTCTGCGACCCCTCGCTGTGTGTTTACAGCGCGGCGCCCCCTCTCCGCCTTCGCCTCCTCTCCATTCTTGCCTGCTCGCTCCGGGCCCGTCCTCTCCTTCTCCTCCTCCCCGCGTTGTCCAGGGTAAACGCCCTCTAGCCCGGATCCACAAAGCTCACCCCGCTCCGTGCGCTCTCGACCGGGGATCGCCAAGCAGGAGGCCTTAAAGGCATACGCTCCCTTTTGTCTGCTTCCCTTGGCGTGTTGCGCCGGGCTGCGGGGGCAGTTATGCGGGGACGCGGAGGAGATGCAGAGCCGGGAGAGAGGAGCTGTGATTCCAGGCAGCAAATGCGCTTGGCAACCGAGTCGGAAGAGGCTGTCCGAGGCATGGACACCTGCGGCTGCAAGTGGCGGGAGGGGGGCGCAGCAGCAGCAGCAGCAGCTTGGTCCAGTGCTGCAACCCACTCCCCCTCTGGGCGATGGATTCCCTCGACTTACACGCTAAGACGGGCGCCTATCCTCTCTCTTGCTCTGGCTTCCTGGGGATACCCGAACTCGACCGCTGAAGGCATCAACGACCCCAGGTCTGTAACAGTCGCCGATATCCTTAGCCACAACTTCAGTTTCACGGGCGAGGCAAAGCCAGAATGCACAGTCTAGTCCGCGATGCTCGCCCGCCTCACGCACACCCCGACCACCACCCCCAGCATGAAAGAAGGCCTCCAAACCGAGCACAGTAACCCACGGACCATAGCCATTTGGGGAGGGGCAACTTACTAAAGCAGTCTGGGCTTTGCTCTGCAGCCACCTGTTGATCCTTTCGCCTAAACCCGAAGTCAGCCTCTGCTGCTGCTGCTGCTGCTGCTGCTGCTTTCCGTTCCCCCACCCTCCGACTAGGAAAAAAACCCACCCAACTCACAATCAGAGGGTTGTAACCCCCTGGTAAGATTTAACCATTTGGGAAGCAGTGGCCTCAGCCATAAAAATCCCACCCGGGAACCAGTGGCCTGCCAGCTTGTCCCAGCAAGAGGGTGCCTTGTTCGGCTGTAGGTGGGATTTAGCGCAAAATTGTGCCTATTTTTCTGCAGGCTTGCTAGCAGCGAACCATTGGAGGTGAGTTAGCATTCAGTGAACCACTTGCAGTGGGTTGGCATGAGTATAGGGGCAGAACGATACCAATCCATTTGTGCCCATGAGAGAAAAGGTGAGCCGGGCCTCTCCATGGCACAGTCCTCCACAGAGGTAAGCTTAATGATTAATTGCAAAGTGAGCTGCAAGGGGCCTTGGGAAGTGACAGGGATGGCATGCCTTTTCAAGGGCGTTTTTAGTGGTTCTGCTTCCACTGCAACTGTATCCAATGTCCAGCCACTGGGTGTGTACACAAACACCCCCACTTCTCTGCAGATTGGATTAGCTGTGGAATAAAGCCATCAAATCTCCTTAACAGAGTGACTTATTAAAGGGCTGTTCTGGGACTGATTATCTTAGGCACAAGAGCTCTGGGCTTTCCCCTGGGCCTTCTTGATTTGCTTGTCCCCAAGCAAGAAAGCTGAGGAAGGGGTTGTTAATGAATTAATTGATTCCAATGAATTTCTTCTGAATGTTCCATTGCATCATGTTTGGTGGCATAGGGATTAGGGACTGGATGTCGTGATGATGCCCTTAACCCTTTCCATTCTGTGACTGGACAGAGAAACAAATAAATTGTAAATGCATCCAAACCTTCCACCTATCTCAGGTATTTGTTTTCTCTCTTTCTAAGTACAAAAGACTCCACAGGTAACATATTGCCTTTGTCTAGCCTTGTGATACATATTTTTACCTTCAGTGCTGAATGTTAAAAATCAGTCTTTATTTGACTTTTCTAATTATTATATAAGGCTGAATTCTAATAGCCTGTTACTTGGGGTCACGTTCCGGTGCAATCATTGGTACTTAATTTTGAGTAGTCATGTATATGATTGTGCTGTAAATTGCTTGTAATAATTACGTTCATTAAAAGAAACTTTTAAAAATATTATTCTAGGAGAAGACAGAAAGGAGGGGTTGTGCCTTCAGAAGGTATCATAATATTAAATAGGTGTTCTTTAACTATAAATGAATAAACAAATGGCTTGAAAATTGTTGAATGTAGGATAATGATGATGAAGACAAAACACGATTTTCTTTCTTTCTTTAAAAGATTTAGGTCTTGCCTTTTCTTAAAATTGAAATGCCGCCAACCACAAAATATAATAATTTAATGAAAACAATTTTTAAAAATAATGGGAATATTAGCAGATAAAACTGTCATCAATATGATTAGGAATGGCAGCCCAAATATGCCTTGAAAGTATTCTAATAAACTCATTCAGTGTTCTAAGTCAGATATAATATAATTGGATATAATTAATATCCAAAAGGGGCTGAAAACACCATGCAGGTCACAACAATAGAGAAGGACCAGTCAAACATCTACAAAGTCTCTGGGGGACCAAAAGTCTTTCTAAAAGATCATGACTTTATGCTGCTGTGCATGGTCATTGAAGAAGGAGCAAGGCCAGTCTTCTGAGGAAGTGAGTCTAGAGCACGGGTCCTCAAACTTTTTCACTAGGGGGCCAGTTGAAAGGTGCCGGTGCCGGGTGCAGGCCAGAAAGGTAGTGCTGGCGGGGCACAGGAGCGGGGGCAGGGCGTGCGCACGCTGAGTGAGGTGGAGCGGGCATGTGCCGCGATGCAGCGCCTTGCTCACTTGGAGATCGTTTTCTCCAAGCGAGTCCAAAACGATCTCGCGAGCAAGCCGCCGCCTCCCCGCGTTGGGGTGAGGCAGGCAGCGGCGGGCATGCATGGCGCGCGGGAGGCATTGGAAACCTCTGAGGCGGGCCGGATAAATGGCCATGGTGGGACGGATCCGGCCCCCAGACCAGTTTGAGAACCCATGGTCTAGAGCTTGGGCACAGCCATGCTGAATATAGCACTATCAGTGTGCATGCTATAAACTAATCCGAGCAGCTCCCTGACCCAAGAAATTTGTACCTAAATTTTAGTAGAGAGGAAGATTACAGCTGGAAGAAGATGGAGACAAAGGGAAGCTTAGCATGTCAATTAAATAAACTCATTTTTGTTCCATATGTAGTTAGTTAGCTTCTGTTAGTTAGACTTAAATTTCCTGTATCCCAGAGTTGTTGAATCTTGGAAGCTGCATTCCCATGGTGGGCAGGGCCAAAGACAAAGGGGCGGGACCAAATGCCCAAAATGCCAGCAACTTTTAACTTAAAGCCCTTGCAGCCCAGAACTAAGACATGGAAGAGGCATTTCAACCGTTCAGAATAGGGTGAGGGAAAGAAGCCCTGTGCAAAACTGAGGAACTACGAAACCCTCAGTGGTTGGGGCCCTGCAGTGGAGCTGAGCGGTGGCTATCTGGGGAACCTTTCAAGGCTTCTATTTGGCCTACACAGCCTGATGTTCAATACCCCTACTGTAGGGAGCAAAGACTAAGGGATAGAATATAAAAGAGGGTTTTTTTTCAGAATTAGAAGGCTGGAGGCTTGCAGAAAAAGATGCAAGGGGTACCTTAGAACAGTGATGGTGAACCTTTTAGAGACCAAGTGCCCAAACTGCAACCCAAAACCCACTTATTTATCGCAAAGTGCCAACACTGCAATAAAACCTGAATACTGAGGTTTTAGTTTAGAAAAAACAACTATATATATATTTGCCAGTCCAAGCAAATATATATATATTCTTGGCAGCACACTGACCGGCCATGCGAAAGCTCGGACGAGTCGTGGCTAATGTGATGTCATCAGCTGGCACTGCTATTTCTTTCCAAGCATGCGCATGGCCCCTATGTGCACTGCTATCCGATGCTCGGCTGCTGGGGCGATGCTGGGGCGACTTGGCTCGTGTGCTGACAGAGAGGGCTCTGCGTGCCCGCTGTGGCATGCGTGCCATAGGTTCGTCACCACTGCCTTAGAACATTGGCTTTCCAACGTGTATTCCAAGCAGCTCTGAAGTTTTCTGAGGAGAGTACCAGTCATGAAAGGCTTTTTCTGCTCTTACCAAACTTACCGGACAACGCAGAGTCCTGGGAGAAGGTTGGATATGCTTTAGAGCAAACTCAGTTTGTGCAGGATTAGTACACTGCGTAAAAACAGCCCTGGGAAGCTCAAAAGTACTATATGAGGTGGAGGGAAAAGTAGGTTCCCATTTGTAGTAATGTCCTGTTCTGTGTCTTTGGATGAGTCACTTTGTAAGTTTTCCTTTGCAGGGGAAAAAATAAGGATAATAGGACTTCACTACTTTTGTCAAGCAGCTCACAAACAATTGTGGAGGATGCTTGCTTGTGGTAGTTTGTTGCTGGAAAATCCCCGGAGCAACTCACATTAATTGGGTCTGAGGGGGTCTTGAAAGCTGGCCTAGGATTCAGGAGATCCAAGTTGGCCTCCAGTCATCCACTGAGGTCATTGTGTGACTTTGGGGCAGTCACTGACTCTGAGCTTAACTTACCAACAAGCATTCTGTGAGAATGAAGTTCAGAGGTGAAGGACCATGTCGGCAGCCTCAGGTTTCTTGCAAGAGAAAAACACAGGCTACAAATGTAATAATATACAAACAACCCCTATGTGCATCCACCTTACTGTTAGATCTATTGAACTAAATGGGAATTTACTGCCATCTAGACAGCATAGAGTAGGCTGCAGTCCTTAGCATACTTGACCGGGAATTGTTCCATTGAACTTCACGGGACTTTTCCTTAGTCAAAGCACTTGCTACCAGGCTGTAGGGATATCATATTTCAAAGCACCTCAGACCTGGCAAAAGATGCTGCCCATGTTTGAACCACAGAGCAGTGCTTTATTATAAGCAAGAACATTACTGAGCATTTAAAAGCTTTGGGACAAAGGCCCATTGGATATATACTTGCATATGGTAATTTGTATGTATAAATGCATATTTATAAATAATTACTAAGAATTTTTACAATTTAATGGAAGGTAAAATTAACCAATGTTTGTCCATTTACATCAAATAAAAATAAATAATTTTAATAAATTTTACTCCATTCCAGAGCATCCCAAATCATTTGTTCTTCTTCAGCGACAGTCTGAAAACTCTTGCTGTTCCT